TTTTTGTACAATTTATAGTAAGTAATTCGCTATGCAAAATAGAAAATTATTGCACATAATTCGCTATACCCCCTAGCAAATTACTGGGGGAGATGACATTTGTCTCTGATGTGTCAGATTTGTCCCTAATTCGCTATGAGTCATAGCAAATTTCAATACATAATTCGCTACCTGGTACATCGAATTATGTGGGGTTTTGACATGTGACCTGACAATGACTGGACAGGAACTGACCCATTGACACGTAATTCGCTACACTGTGCAACGAATTAGGTGTCCAATAGCATTTTGCCATATTAGCATGCATAATTCGCTACACAGTGTAGCGAATTACTGCCTGCTTGACACAGGTCATTTTACTGACTGTGCAGGCTAAATTTTGATCACATAATTCGCTACCCTGTGTAGGGAATTATTCCAACCAATTGTGACTTGCCACATCAGCAAGCATAATTCGCTATACAGGGTAGCAAATTATGCCACGTGGCATTCTGGGAAATTTTATTGTTGGCGTAGCAGTCTAGTAAATTTTTTGTTGAAGCGTGGTAAAATGGTCACTGTTCCACACATGTTTAACACAACTTGCCAATGAATGGCATTATTCGAAAAGCACTAACCCCCGCCATATTCATAAGGAACAACTAAGATCAATTTTAATTAATTATGAGACTTGACAATTGGCATTAACTTGTCAATAATCTAACACCAATTCTTCATTGTTAGTAAACATGAGAAAGATGATACACTTGGGTAAGCACCAATGTGATCCAAAACTTAAATTCCATGCCAAGGCTAAGCCATAATACACATATATTATTTTAATTTTGAAGGTTCAACTCTCACTTTTGGTCATGTTTATGGTTCTGAAACATCTTAATTTAACTTTTCTTGAACAATAAAATCAACAAGTTTTAAACTTATTTACATTACTAAAAGTTACCTAAGTTTGCCAAAAATTACAAGATCAATATCAAGGTTAAGGGCAGCAAACAGCCAGTACAAGACATCCTCTAAAGATTCTTCAACAAGATATATGGGTCTATTTGATTTTCTGACCGAACTGTTATCTCAAATATTTCCACAAAGCCTGCATTAGGAAAATATACAGTATAATAAATTATAATAAAGTACACCACTCAAAGACAACAAGTTTTGGAAAATACAAGGAAGAGAAACAGATGTCATTTTTAATACAGTAAAGAATGCTCTAAATTGTTAGTATGTAGGTGTTTTACAGACAATCTATTTAGTCAGATGTACACCTTTTACTATTTTTTGTATTTCATGATTAAGTTAATTTGAGCACACTTTATTTTTATCATATTTTTTCTCACCTTTATTTATGGTTAATATACTTTTAAAGATAATGGCACTGGGAATAGAACTGGTGCTCACTCGATGATCTATGATATGGATCATGATCATGAGGACTCGAGTTAACAATATGTCTATCGTCTGAAGCTTGTTCTTAGTCTTAAATCACCAAGATAGGGTATTGGTGATCTCAATAAGACTAGCACGACGTCATCTACTTGTATGGAGATAAAAGGTAGGAACCTCATAGAATGCAAGCATGGTGATGCCTTAAATGATGTTGTGGGTGAATATGTTAGAGAACATATGACACTGAACTGACCCGCCAAAAGACTCCACAAGGATTTATTGTAAATAGTATAATTCAATTTGTAATGTCTTTCATCGTTTGGTAGTGTGAATCGTCAAACACTTGAGGATGCCATTGAACATTATATCCTATGGTTATGCTTTGATTATACGACTCTATCTGCCTAAAAATTGGGAGAACGGTGTATTTTTTAGTATAGCTCGAATAAATGAGTATAGATGGACATGGCGATGGGACTCATAGTCCTGTACAAGAGATTAGTCGTTCACAAGATCGATAGGAATTAGATGACTTCTATTAGACTCGAGAATCTATGTATAGTAAGGATCATTAGGAGTCATGGATCCGTTTTAGAGTCAATAAAGAAGATTCCTAATTATGTGAAAAAGATACATTTAGTCAATCAAGAGAGATGATATCCTTGTTCTCAACTAAATGTGAATGAAGATATAAGCGATGATGTTGGCATGGTAACCAAATTAGAAAGGTAAATCATTTGATCATCTCAATTAGTTCTAAGGCTGCAAAGAATTGCTAATGTCTTATGTGATCATTAGATGAATTGGACCAATTAAAGGAGTTTAATTGGTCCAAGTTTATCTATGTCCTTCATTAATTGGTCCTAATAGGTGATACGCCAATATTGTTCTTAATCTATGTTGCACCGACACAAACATGAGACACGACATTCTGACACGTTAATTCTAAAAAATGTTAGATTTTGACACATTAGGACAAATTTTATTACTAAATAATATTTTTAATTTATGTAGTGTTTATTATATTTATCAATAATTTAACAAAAAATTGAAACTAAACTTATAATACTCATCAATTTTGCAAAGAAACATAAAATATAAATATTCACTATTATATTTTCAAATTGAAATGTCTTATACACTCTAGTGAAATTTATTCAGTATCCATTTTAAATTTTTATTTTATCAGTTTGGTAAAATATCAATCAATTTTTTCATGTTATGTAAAGAAATTTCAAATATTATAGATTTCGAAGCGTGGCACAATGTTTGGGAGTGTCAGACATGATACTTCAGATTTTTTGAAATGTCGGTGCTACATAGTTCTTAATGACGTGCTATAGCAAGTTTCGGCCAATAATGTGTTATTGGGCTTAAGTGAGACTATGAGAGGATTAGGTTGGAGTGAGACTCCAAGCCCACATGAACCATGCGCCTATTTGGGCTTTAGTGGTAAAATTGGTTTTTTGCCCAAATGTGTTAGAAGGCCTAATAGGATCTTGAACTATGAGTCCTAGTAAGTCAAGGAGTTGACTGAGTCAAAATGAGTTTTGGCACAAATCTTAATTTGAATTAGAATTTTGAATTTTGAAATCAAATTTAAATTAAGAGCTAGGATAAGAATGAATTTGAATTTAAAGTTTAAATCGAATTTAAGAGGTAAGGTGGATAAGGATAATTATAAATTATCCAAAGCATTATCCAATAGGGATTGAACAAGGCTTCTTGAAACAATTTAATTGTTTAAATTACAAATTCAACTAAATTTTTTGGTGAAGCATCAACAAGATAATATATGGATAGGTCGAATTTCAAGTGGGATCTTCTAAAACACATTTGAAATTTCGAACATCATGAAGACTTCATAGGACATTTGAATTCTGAATTCAAATGTGAAGAAAAAGCTCTCCAACTTCATGACTGGGGTGAAATTCAAATTGCTCTAGAACCCATTTGAAATTTCGAATTTCATGAAGCTCCATTGTTTGGTTATTTGAATTTTGAATTCAAATGTGGAGAAAATTTCTACAACTTCATGATAAGATCAAATCTAAGAGGATTCAGAAAATCCACTTAGATGAAGTAGTTAAGTGGGATTCAAATTAGGAAATCCTAATTTAAATGTGATACCCATACACCACTTTCTTATGCCCCTTCTTGCTTCATAAAATCCTAGCTTGGCCACCCCATTCCTTTCATATTCCTCCATTGTTGAGCCCCACACTTAACCTCAAGACAAAAATCACAGTCTTGAGAAAATAACTCAAACACTTGATAGCCTTCAACCTTGCATTTGCCTAGAAAGCTACCAACGAAGGAGGGATCAAGGAGAAAAAGTTCTCGCATGTCGTTGAGGAACGATAGTGTGGATCAATGTGAGAGGACGCGATACACTTTGAAGTCTTCAAGTGATAAGGTACGAAACAAAAACCCTTGCATGTTTTTAACGGGTAGATCCTAAAGCAACTCATGAAGATCGTATAGAGTTACAAGTTCCGCAACGTAGAAAAAAAATAATTTTTTTGTTTTTTACCATCATAAGCGAGTTCTTTATATGATAAGGTACTTCCATTTTAACTTCATAAACCATTTATATCAATATCATGAAGATACATATCGATTAGTGTTAGAGTTCAATATGAGCATGAAATAATATAATGAGGAACACCAAAAAAAAAGAAAGACCTATAAATGTGTTCGATTCAACACTAAATAAGCAAGCACTATATATCGAAAATCCTTCGAGAAAAAATAACAAACGAAATATTTCTTCTCTTTGAATAATTGCTTCAATTAGTTTGATAATTCTATGATAGAGGGTAAAGTATAAACTAATGTTATTTAATACTGATCGGTCATCAACTCTGAGAGGATATCGAGTCAATAGGTTACAGGTTCAACCAGTAGATCATTAGTTAAATCGCTGAATTAAATTTATATAAAAATATGTAATAAATATATAAAAAGAAGCAAAATGTCAATCAAAATCATGTAACCTAACGGTTAGAATTTCACATGTTATGTTTAAATCTTAGGAATAACTATAAAGCACCAAAAACAATTTTTTAAGTGGTTCAAAAACTGAAATATTTTATTCAAACTTATTCAAAAACCAAACTATCTGTTTAAGAACTAAACCACTTTACCAATTCACTTCAGTTCAATTTTTATCAAAAAATTTTAAGTTTAAAAAATAAATAAACCAAACTGATCCGCACCATATTTTTCTAAATCAATTTAACAACTAAACCATTTTCTCCAAACCATTTCAAGAATCAAATCGTTTTTTAAAACTAATTTGACTCACCCATATCGAACCACTCTTCTAGTTTGGTTCAATATAAAAAACCAAACGGAACCATGCACGCCCCTAATCACAAAAATATTTCCAGTACTACAAAAGTATCGAGTACTCAGTGCATCCTTTACTAAGTATGAAAAAAAAAATTATATTTACATTACCTTAGCTTTTTGCTTATTTTCTCCCATGTCCTTTTTTTTTTTACCTTTTTGGTAAAGGAAAATGTGTAAAGGGGAAATGTGCAATCCAACATAAGTAAAATTCTTGTACAGGCACCACAAACACACCAAATAGTTCAAGCCCTAAGGAATGGGCACTAACAAGCGTAAAATTAAGTTTAATCAACTTTAATATGCGGTCCATGGAATATTAGTATATTACCATGAGTAAAAACGTTAAGCTCAAATATATCCTCATAAAAGGATTAGATGTTGCAATACAAGACCACACAAGTACTTCAAAAGGAAAGTAGACTCTCCACTGATAGTTCCTCGGTATCTAGAAGGAGCATTATTCAAAATATAAGCTACTTCTATGAAACAAAACATATGAAACTGCAATTACAATAGACAAAAATCAAGCAATCTAAGAGAGGCATGAGTAAGCCAAAGCCTTTTCCTCTGAAAGCTCTTCTGCTGTCAAGTCCAACTTTTTCCTTGAGAACTCATCAATTGTTAGTCCTGGGTAAAAAAAATTAGAGAAAATATGTCAGATGCAGTTATCCAAGGTCTGTAAGTTTCTGTTTCATTAGAAAGCATCACACCATGGTCTATGATAATTGTTGAATAGTAAGTCATATTTCAGTAGCAAAGAGAACAAACACTGAAAACTAAAGGGGGAGTATTAACACCTACACAATGGTTATAGATAATATGGATATATAAAATATTAAAAATATGAGAAAAAATTTGTTCATATATAAGATTAAATCATTAAATATCCCATTTTGTTACCAAACACTTACCTTGAACAATTTTCCATTCCCCTTTGGCACAGGTGACAGGGAATGAATAGATCAGTCCAGCTGGTACATTGTACGAACCGTCAGAATATACTCCCATTGAAACCCAGGTACCCTGATATTGCAATGAAAAAGAAATAAGCTGAGCTAGAGACACGTCCAGAACGTGAATTAAACATAAAAAAAACAACAACAAAAAAACTAACAAACCTCAGGAGTTCCAAGAACCCAATCTCGAATGTGGTCACAAGCAGCACTAGCAGCAGACAGTGCACTTGAAAGCTTTCTAGCTTTAATAATTGCAGCACCACGTTGTTGAACAATAGCTATGAATTCCCCATTCAACCTTGATAATTAAAATTTTCAAAAATGCTATATTAAACAAAAAACTATAAACATGAAAAGAAAAAAAAAAGAGAGGCAAAAACTGTAAGTCACAGTATTAGTCAATTACCAAGCATCATCAGCAACAAGTTTACGGACAGGCTTCTCCCCAGCTGGGGTTATAACAGTCGCATGGTTGACATCAGGATACTGAGATGATGAATGATTACCCCAGATGATGGCATTCTTTACATCAGAAACTTGAACATTCAGTCTTTCAGAAATTTGGCCCAATGCCCTATTGTGATCCAGTCTAGTCAAACAAGAAATGTTTTTCTCAGGAATAGATGGAGCAAATTCCTTCAAGATCAGTGCATTGGTGTTTGCTGGATTAGCAACAACCAGAACCTGCATGATAATGCGGAGTCTTTTATAAATATCACAAAAAACACATAAAACTGAATTACATGTTTTCAACAACAAAAAAGGACAAAACAAAACAAATAGCACTTATTTACTGAATATAGTTAGATTCCATCATGACAGATTCACAAGGACAGATTCACAAGGACTTCACCATACAGAATACACTTGCACATATATGAATTAGGAGGAACTTTTTCCAATTCAAGTGATAATTTGCATCTGCTAAAAGAGGCCAAAGTTTGACACAATTTAACAGAACCTCAAAGATACAACTAAATGCATTGCAAATCTAAGTATCTTCACTTGCCCAACATAATAAATAAAATCAACATATTTGCTCATATTTTATTGGTCTTATATCTTGCATCATCTCATAGAAACCAATAAATTAATAGGTTTCAATAATAGACAAAACCAAGTAATCAACATGTTCAAAGAAATTTAACCCATGTATCAAAAACAGAAAAAAACACAAAATTGAGCATATGTTTTAATATAAAAAGCTGCAGATATAAAAGTTCATGAACATGGGCCTGAGTATTCACATGAAAGGGATTACCTTGCAGTTTGCAGCAGCATGTTTTTCAAGGGCAGAAGCCTGGGACTTATAAATAGATACATTTTTAGACATCACATCTTTCCTCTCCATACCTTCTTTCCTTGGGAACCCACCAACCATCACAGCAATATTGACCCCAGTGCATGCCTCAACCACATCAGTGGTAGCAACAACACCTGAAACAGATAATTTCATAAGATTTCATATAGCTATCCGTGACGTTTGTGTAACATTTAACAAGGATAAGTCAAACCTTTAAGAAGAGGGAATGCAGCATCCACCAACTCCATTTTAACCCCATTCAATGACTCTGCTGCTGGAGGAATGTCAAGCATGTGGAGGATCACGGGTTGGTCAGCACCCAACATCACTCCCCTGGCAATCATAGGGACAAGGGCATACCCAATTTGTCCTTCAAAAGAAAGAAGGCTTTATCAGTACAGCAAAAAAATGACATGGTTTAGAGCAACTAATCATTTCACTATTAAACCAATTACCCATTCGAGAGAAAACCCCACTCAACAAAAGTTGATGCAATAGACTAAGAAAGCTTATAAAAATACATACATCAAATTTTTTTGTTTAACAAAAATAATAATAATAATGATAGAGTACAATAACACAACTTTCAAAACAATACTTCAAAAATAGAAATGCAGTAATAAATGAAGTGTGCCACCAAAATAATTCAAAATGATCAGGGCTTTATTTTCAGTTCAATGAAAATGAATTACTGCAACAACGTTTCTCGAGAACAGCAATACGGACAATCAACTAAGGGACTAGAGACTTCATCCTTCCTATAATAGTAATTACTAAGTCAACTTTCCACACTGAATAAGAAACATCTACACCATTCATAAGACATTCATGTCTTAACATGCAGCATAAACCACAACCCAGTTCATAACAAAGTCAATCATAAGAAACAGTTACATTAGAATCCCCAGCCAGGTATCAAAAATAAATCACTGATCAACAAATCTACACCAAAGAAATCACACCATACACAAGCATAAAGCATCATCATTCATCACAGAATCAGATCTGACACCTTAGCAAATCAAGATCCAAAAAAAAAAAAAAAAACAGCATTTTGACACAGACCCAGAATTAAAAATCATCAAACCAATCCAAAAAATGATCAGATCATAGATCTCGCCTAAACAAAACAAAATCAATAAAATCAAGTGTGGGTGATGACTTGGAACCATCGGAACAGTAGAGAAAAGATCATGGAAATGAAAACAATACCTGCAGCACCAGTGACGAGAACACGAACTGGGTCTTTGGCCATTTTTGAAGAAATGTAAGGAATCGAACAAAGAGAGGATTGAGGCGAAGAAGAACAGTGTTTGAGAGTGAGTGTGCGTGAAATACAAGAGGACTTGGGTATTTATTTATGTGGAGATAGCGTTGCCACGCCATGAGCCCATGACCACATGAAACGACGTCGCTTTGCTATGTTTAACGGATCAGTTAAACTGCAGTTGCAAATTGCAACTAAAGAAGAAGAAAAAAATAAAAGAAATAAAAAAATGCGAAACTCGCATTTCTCTTTCCTTTTCTCTTTAACTAATAGGCCTCACAATTTTATTTTATTTTTAAAAAATGATAAATGTTAAGGTCGATAACTCAATGCAGTATTCAATAGTCAACCCTCCCATCACCATCAACAAAAATTTCAATGGGAATGACGGCATGACCCTCACCATCTATTATCAACTCAAAATAGGGTCATTGGCATGGATTAGCGACTTTTCTCTCCTCTAAATATAAAATAGAGACTCTTATTAGAAATATGAAATGTACATAGCAGGGTCGCAATTTTTTCCTTTGTTTCATTTATTTGATTTGTATTGTGATCTATTCAGCAAAACGATCTACGGTGTCTTTGGGTTGATACGCTAATAGCTCATAAAGCTTCGGGGGGATATGTGGGTGTTGGATTCGTGGCCCGCCCGCTCAATTAATGGGTGCCTTAGTATCTTATTCATAAGAGATATTTAGATGTTGAATCGTCAGAGCAAAGAGAGAGGAAAAGAGACAAAACAGAAAGAAAGAGAAACGCATAAGCTAGAGACGAAGATTTTTTGATGAGAAAATCCAACGCTATTGCTGAAAAAGAAGAATACTCTGTAGAGTAAAATTCTTTATCCCCTTTACAAAAAGAAATGTTTATTTGAGACACTTGTCTAAATCATCTTTCTAGAGGTTGAAGTCATCTGGTTATTAAGTCAAAATGAATCCTTTATATAATCCAATTTTCTTAGTGGAAGTTTTCTGGACTTGGTCGCGTAATTTTTACTCTTCACAATAAAAAGGTTTTCACGTTAAAATTTTTGGTGGTGAGGCCTATAATAGGAATCATGATCATGAGGATTTGAGTGCACTACATGTCTTTCGCCTAAAACTTGTTATTAGTCTTAAATCACCAAGATAAGGCATTAGTGATCTCAATAAGACTAGCATGGTGTCATCTACTTGTATGGAAATATAAGGTAGGGACCTCATGGAATGCAAGCATGGTAATGCCTTAGCTAATATCGTGGATGGATTTGTTAGAGAACATATAGCACTAAACTGACTTGCCAAGAGATTCCATAAGGATTCATTGTAGAGAGTATCATTATATTTATAATGTCTCTCATCGTCTGGTAGTGTGGATCGTCCTAGACTAGAGGATGTCATCGAACACTATGTCTTATGGTTACACTTTATTGTACAACTCTATACGTTTGAAAATAGGGAGAATAGTGTACTCATGAGTATAACTCGAATGCATGAATATGGATGGACATACCAATAGGACTCGTAGTCCTTACAAAGGATTAGTCGTTCACAAAATCAGTAGGGCTTGGATGACTTCTATTAAGACTCGAGAATCTATGCACAGTAAGGGATCTTGAGGAGCTATGGATCCACCTTAGAGTCAGTAGAAGAAGATTCCTAGTTTTGTGAAAAGTTATATTTAGTCAAACAAGAAAGATGATATTCTATCATTACTCTCGACTAAATGTGAATGACGATATGAGGGATGATGTTGGCACAGTATTCAAACTAGAAAGACAGATCACTTAATCAACCCAATTAGTTCTGGGGCCGGAAAGCATTGCTAGTGTCTTATAGGAACAAATTTTAATGTAAGTTCAAATTCAAATTCAAGAGGTTAAGTGGATAATGATAATTTTGAATTATCCAATAGGGATTGGATAAGGCTTCATGAATCAACTCAATTATTTGAATTACGAATTCAAATAAAGTTGTTGAAGCGACAACATAGAGGGATATGGATAAGAACGAGATTTTCTAGAAAATTTTGATTGGGATTTTCTAGAACCCATGTGAAAAATTCTATCAACATGGAAAAGCTCCATGAAATTGGAATTTTGAATTCAAGTTTGTTTTCATGATAGGAACAAAATTCAAGATGGTTCTAGTAACCATTTGAATTTCAAATTTCATGAAGTACCTTCACATGGTCATTTGAATCTTGAATTCAAATATGGAGAATAGTTCTCCAACTACATGATAGGATAGAATCTAAAGGGGGTCAGCAAATCCTCTTAGATGAAGCTATTCTAGCGGGATTCAAATTAGGATGAAATCCTAATTTAATTGGGCTGAAATAGGCACGACTTATAATCATCCTTTTTCATGAATCTTGCGCCCCACTCATGCTCAAAGAACCTAAGTCTTGGTCGCCCCTCTTCCATCATCCAACCTCCATTGTTGCGCCCCCACACTTAACCACAAGACACAATCATAGTCTTGAGTAAATAAACTCAAACACTAGATAGCCTCCGCCTTGCATTCACCTAGAAAGCTACCAAGAAGAAGGAGTTCTCATGTGCCATCGAAGAATGATCGTGTGGATCAACATTAGAGGACCTATATCCTTTGGTGTCTTCGAGTGATCAGGTATGAAAAGCTAAACCCCTTACGTGGTTTAGCATGTAGATCCTAAGGCACTCATGAGGATCGTAATTAGTTACAGGTTCTGAAGTGATTAACAAAACGGGAAATTTTTTTGTTTTTCACCATCGTGAGTTAGTTTCTTGCACGTGAAGTGACTTATATTTTAACTTTCAGGTCAGTCCAGATGTCATAGGTGTTGCCAAAGTACAAGAGACTATCAGTGATCTCTCGTGTAACCGAGTTTAGGATCCATGAATTGAAATTAGGCTCAAAAAGAGGATGGGCAACGAGGACAAGGTCAAGATAACCTGAGTTACTGAGAAAATATGGACCGGCAGAATCCTCCATAGAAGGGGAAGAACTCGAGGAACTAAGAGATACAAGGGCCAAAGGTTGAGTAGGATTCTGATTATTGAATTATTCCCGCGAGCCATGATGAAGATTAGATAGAAAGAAAATCTTCTGATACCATTTTAAAAGATAAAGACTAAGGAAAAAGATGATGAAAAAAAACTGAATTGTATTTCCACGCTCTAATGGAATTGTTTTCTGTACATTCATATATAGCATAAGGAAGAAAGAAAAAAAGCTCTGTAACTAACTATTAGCTGGCAAAACTAAGTATAAAAATACCAAATACAAGAAAAAGTATTCAGAGAAAATACATGATAAAAAAAAAACACACTAATATTTCATACAAGTGTCGTGTCATGTTAGCATAATATTAGTTAAAATAATATTCATTATATATGTTATTCACATCTTATCGTGTCATGATAACTCGCATAATAAGTGACACACTTTAAGAATGACAGGTTATTTATATCGTGTCATATCATGTCAACCCGCATAATAAGCAACACATTTGAGGTTGCGAGTTATTCGTGTTAACTTTTAAAATAAGTTAATTGTGTTCGTATTAAGTGTATTTATATTTATAACATATTATGTCGTGTCAACTCCAATTTTGCTTAGATGCCCATTATAAGCTACATTTTTCATCTACATTTACTATTGAGACACTGACCCTCACTCTAGATGGTTAAGGTTTCTGTCTTCCTAAACTTTGAGAAATTTTTTGATGGAACAGCTGTAGGTACATTCATGGTAAAAAGAAAAAAAAATTGGAACTTAAAAGAAATTATACAAAAAAATATAAATTAAAATGAATTTTTTTTTCTATTTTTGTAAAAGAGAATACCAAATTCTGTACTTCCGTGATACAGAAGAAATTTCCCTAAACTCTTGGGGATTGTACCTTCGATGACATATGCTTCTAACGTAGATCCCGAACATATTGGTTTGAATCACTTTAAAATAATCAAAAAATAATTCTTATTCTTTCTATTCCAATTTTTGAATTTCTTGTTATTTTCTTTAAAATAAAATAAAAAAAAAACAATTCTTATTCTTTCTATTCCAATTTTTGAATTTCTGGTTATTTTCACAATCTTATGTGCATCTATTGTTCCACGCTCTTCATATTGCTGAATTAACATCAAAATCAAGTGCAGCTTGCCACTACCAACCACCATTCAAAGAAGTTTATCATCGATATTCCCTTCAACCCCAAGTATTCCAAAATGAACGCTAAATGAACTATTTTTTATTTTTTATTTTGTTTACAACAAATGCATTGATTCAAATCATGGTTTGTAGCGGAAGGAAGAAAGATATTCTGTTGAGATGCTCAAGGACACGAGGAATCCGGTGATGGGGTCCGCGGCATGTTAAAGTTAGTATAAAGCATCAACCACATCTATGCAGCATGCTAGTACTGCGCGACTGTTTTAGCTTTTTTCTAAAGTTTAGAATCTATTTTAGTGATAGGTTATTCTACTTACTCTGATTTTTGTTTTATTAAATTAGAATGTCGATAGGAAAGAAAAATAATAAAAATAGTTGAGATTATGATCAAAAAATGTTAGAGAGTGATAAGCAAAAATAAACAGAAAATAAAATAAAATAACATCTTTTTTTGGGTAAAACAGAGGGCCTAAGCCCACCAAATAAAAGAAAATAAACAAACCAAAAAATAATTATTGAACAACTAAAGTACAAGGTCTGCCCACAATAGCAAAGTCAGCCAAGAACAATAGCTAAATTCTAGGAGGAGGCTCTCCGCTAACAAAATAATCTAAATTGTAATTGTTATCCAAGATAAAATTCGTCATCCAATTGGTTCAGACATTCCCTTCTCTAGAAATGTGATGAAATCTGACAATCCAATCTTTGTGCTTCAAAGCTAAAATAACTTATCCCTCTATTTCATTACCCAAAAAATGATAAAAAAAAAAAATTGGTGAAAAAAATGATAAATTTTTTGTATATGCTATATATGTGTCTTTATTATTATTTTCATAACTTAGAGGAATATTGTTATTTTCTGTAAAAGACGCGACATGTGAATTAGACTTTGCTGTGTAAGGCCTGGGTTGTTATTCTAATTTACTGTAAAAAGAAAAAAGAAAAAGAAAAGAAAAGAAGAAGATAG